TTGTGAGCCATTTATCTAAGATAAATTTCTCTCTCTCTCTCTTTCTCTCTCTATAAATATATATATATATACTTTGCTGGTTTTTGTGTTTCTCTAGAGAACCCAATCCAACACAACACAGTTTCCTAGAAGAATAATGGGAAATAATTTAATTGTGTAGTTTAATTGGGTAATTCTGTAATTTACTGAGTAACTTCTGTTTTCAATAAGGCACTGTGTTCTATGGTCATGAGGGAATAAAGGAAAGCACAAGATAGTCCTCACTTCTATTATTGCCATTGCTTTTAATGGACAGGGCTTCCACTGGGAAATGACACGCTTCAAGTGAACATCTCTTAAAAGAAAGGTTTAGAAACCCGACCAATGACTCTCAACTGCATCTCATCAGCTGAAGGGTGCAGAATGTGCCTGCAAATCAGTGACCAGAGAGAGAGAAGGGACTATCCACCAGCTCTCCTTGAAACTGCCAGGAGGGGACCATTTCCTTTTGCAGCCTAAAAGAGGTTCTTAGCAGATGTGCTCTCTAAGCCAAATAAGCTTCATGCTCCTTCAGCTTTGGCAGGGACCCGGGAGCCCTTTATCTGAGATCCTGGGGTGTCCCCTACCCTATGCCTTATTTGGCAAGTTCTGGTGGAGTAGTGTCTAAGGCATTTGACTGCTAACCAGAAGGCTGGCAGTTCAAACTCACCAGCCACTCCTGGGTAGGAAGGTTGGGCAATCTACTTCTATAGTGATACCGCCTCAGAAACCCAAGGAGGGGTCGCTATGAGTCAAATCCGACTCGATGTCAGTGAGTTTGGTTTTTTGGTTTTATTACACTCAGAAGCTCTGATGGGGCTGTGGTTAAAGCATTGGGCTGCTAACCAAGTTGACGGTTTGAACCCACCAACTTGATGGCAGTGGGTGTGGTTATCACATTCACTACCATTGTTAAAGAAAATGTGAAGGACCCCTTAAGAGTAACCAGGGCACTTTGCACCTCTTTCCTATGAGGCTCCTGATTACCTCTCTGCTGTATAGAGAATACCCAAGCCGAGACCTCATCCCCAGAAAGTCATTCTCATTTCCAAAGCCCTGCAGGTGACTCTAATGTGCAGCTCTGGCTGACAGGTTCTGTTGTGGGGAAGGAGGAGTCAAGCTGAGACCAAACCCACTGCCATCTAGTTCATTCGGACTCACAGCAACCTCGTAGGCCAGGGTAGAACCGCAGCTTTCCAACACTGTAAATCTTTACTGAAGCAAACTGTTCTCCCGTGGAGTGGCTGGTGGGTTCGAACTGCCAAAATCTGGATTAGCAGCCAAGCGCTTAACCACTGCGCGACCAGGGCTCCGTGTGCTTGAGAGAGAAGTTAGCATTGGGTAAAGCATTATTAGTTAGTTCCATTTGCAGTCAGCCTATCAGTGAAATAAGCAAGAAGTGATCAACATACGAAATGTCCAACTTCACGAAATAAAGAGAAACGAATAAAAAATGTCAAAATTCTGTCCACAACGTAGCCCCCTTCTCAATAGGGGCAGTCCTTTCGCAGCAGTTTTAATTCACTATCCCTCGTTTTAATCAATTATCTTCTGTTTCAATCCACTATCCCCAAATTACAAAAACCAAACTAACTTTTAAACTTTTAACTGAATATCAAACTTGCAGAAAGGGCCGCAGCGCTTGCTTAACTTGAGGTTCGGCTCTCTGCGTTGAGCAAAGGATGGGAGGGAAGGGTTCTAGGCCCGGAATGTCCAGCCGGCGCTCTTCGACACATCCTTAATCAAATGTTCACTGTTAACTTCTTTGCTTCCCAGAAGGGTCATAAAAAGTCACGGGAGCGGCCGACGAGGTCGCGCGGCCATCTTCCAAAGACCCTGCGACGCTGAGTCACTCTTGGAAACTTCAGAGGCCCCCAGAGGAAAAACTGTGTCGTTTGGATTCCCCCGCCGGGCACTACTGGCTTTCGGGGTCTTCCGGGCGCGTCCGACCGGAGGAGCGCAGACTCCGCGGGGACCTCAACTCGCCAGGCTGGGTTGCGGGGCTGGCGGTGCACCGCGCGGAGAGGAGGCAGCCCTGGGTCACCGAGCCTCTGGGTCGCTAAGTGGACGCGGAGGGACCCGCGGGGGAGGGGTGGAGGCGGACGAAGGCAACCGTGCCTAGGCGCACACTCCACGCGGGAGGGCGCCCTTCCCGCCTGCCAAGCTCGCGGCTCCGGCGCCGGGTCCCGCCCCCGCGCTGGTGAGACCCGCTGCCAGTGCACACCGACCGGCGGTGGGAAGCCGAGCCTCCTGTAGTTCCCAGAAGCGAGCGCACTCTGTCCACCCGCACGGACTGACTGCTGGCCCCAAAGGAAGGAAGAAGGAGAGGGGCGAGCGGAGCCTCCTGGAGACGGCTCCAGCCTCGAGGAACCGCGGTGCGCGGAGCCGCTCCGAGCGCGCGGAGTCTCGGGACAATGGGGGCGCGGCGGCTGCTGCTGCTGCTCGCGGTCGGATTCTGTCTGTGCGGCCCCTTGCTGTCGGTCCGCACTCGGGCTCGCCGGCCAGGTGAGAGCTGCCCAGGCTTTCCTTTCCTGCCACCCCCGATCCCGCATTTCGGGGACTCGGCGGGAATGGGTCTGTCGGGAATAGGTGGGAGGCTGGAGGAGGATGTTATGGTCTTGACCGTGCCCTCGATCGAAACTAAATGGGTAGATACTGTGTCTTCACCTAGAGAGGGGTGCCCCTGACCGCACCCCCTGACTTAGTTTCCCCAGAAGCCCAACACATTTTGGTTGAGATCTCCCCCAATCATATGGGGGACATTCAGGGCCTAGAACCCCTCCCTCCCATCCTTTGCTCAACGCAGAGAGCCGAACTCTGAGTATGCCCCTTTGGTCTAGGTTTTGGAGGATGCAGCGGGCCTGCGACCGGGTGTTGCATATGGACGACGAGGGGTCCACTTTTTTCTGTGGGAGTCTACGGTCTCCCGTTGCATTTGTTCATCTTGTGGCCTATATCTCCGATAGCCCAAGACAGCCCCAAAAAGAAAGGGTCTCTTACATCACTTCACTAATAAACGTTTCAGCCCTTTCAGTATAAAGGGGAGAAGCACATCTGCTGAAGTTTTGTTTAGTTGGATTGTTCTTCCTTGCATATTTTATAGGCGAGGAAAATGGTGTAAAGTCCCGTCCCTTGGTTTAGAGAATTAGGACAAGTAGTCATGCCCTGACACCGGCCTTGTACACAGGATGTGTTCACAGTGTGAGTGATATGGCCATAATAGCATGTAGCAGGTGGTGGTGGCGGTTGGGAGGTTTTCTGTGTTTGTTACCCAAACAATCCATTCCTTGCAAGCGAGTGAAGGAAAAGTCTCCTCTTCCTAGAGCCAGGCTACTTCAGAAACTATTGGATCCCACTGTTCTGAATGTGGTCTCTAATCTTCTTCAGGTTGCTTCATTTATTTCATAGAATGTTTTTCCCACTAATGGTGTAATTTTAAGTATCTGGTCATTTACTTGGTCAAATAGTAAATGCATTTTCCTCCACCACTATCCTTAACATCACTACCCTTAGCAGGGAGCTCTGGTGGCCTAGTGCCTAAGGTATTTGACTGCTAACCAGGAGGCTGGTGGTTCAAACCCAACAGCCACTCCTCAGAAGGAAGGTTGGGCAATCTACTTCGGTAGTGATGCCGCCTCAGAAATCCAAAGAGGGGTTGCTATGAGTCGGATCTGACTTGATGGCAGTGAGTTTGGTTTTTACCCCTAGCAGGGCAGAGGAAGTGTTTTCAGCTATCAAAGACACCTTAGCAAACCAAACAAAATTCACTGCCACCTTAGAAAGTAAGGGGATGGGGAATGGGGGTGGGGAGACACTAATTTTTTAACACTCATAGTACTCTGTAAACTTTTAGCAATTTTTTTTTAATGCAGAAACAAATTCTAGCTGGTTTTCTTGTTATTCATGAAAAAGTGCGTGCTCAGTATTGTCCTTCACACGCGCACACACACACACACACACTTACACACACACCGGAAATGCACACACTGTAAATACATCAAGATTAAGAGGTGACAAAGACACAGTCGTTTTCTGTTCTACATCTTTGTGGTGAGTGTGGAGGAGGTGCTTTGGGGAAAACAAAGAGCCCCAGCAGGGGTCCAGAGTTTAGCAGCAACTAACTAGCTGTAGATAACATGAGCATTACCTCTGAGGAGGCTGGGGGAACTTGTGCGTGGTGATACATGATTTCAGATATCACTTTGTGACTTGCACAATTTTATTTTGGGACAAGCTCCTAAGAATACAAGTTTAAGCGTGAGCTTTGCATTGTGGGATGGAGAACAGGTTTATGCAAATGTTGCATCCACTGTAGCCCTACCTTTTCTCACAGTGGCCCACCTAGAAGGTTTCTGGCCTCTGTTAGGGGGTGGAGTTAAAGGTTCCTGCCACATGCCTTACTTCCTTATGTAAGGGTTGGTGCATGCTAAGACCAACAACACTGGTATATATACATCCAGGAAGGACAGGAGCTCTGGTAGTGTAGTGCCTAAGGCACTTGACTGCTAACCAGAAGGCTAGAGGTTCAAACCCACCAGCCACTCCTCGAAAGAAAGGTTGAGCAATCTACTTCTGTAGTGATACTGCCTCAGAAACCCAAGGAAGGGTCACTATGAGTTGGGTCCAACTCGACAGCACGTAACAACAGCAACACAACGTCTCTACATTGGGGTCTGGAACTATCTTGGGAGAGAAGGAGAGGAGGATGAGAGAAGAAAAGGAGTGTGTATTAAGCACTGTATTCCATGTGAGGCACTGGGCCAGGAGACATTTCTACGTGGACCGTCTCATTTGCTCTCTCATAAAAACCTTGTTAAGATGGGTTTTTATCCCCTTTTTCCAATTCTAAAACTAAGGCTCAAGACAGCATCATACCAAATTGGGAGAGGGAGCCATGGACCATGGACCGATCTGTGTGCTCCTCCCCTCCCCCACCTTCAGGCAATAAAATTTGCCTTGTCTTTACCCAGTGCCATCAAGATGATTCCAACTCATAGTGACCCTATAGGACAGAGTAGAACTGCCCCCACAGAGTTTCCAAGGCTGCAAATCTTTATGGAAGCGGACTGCCTCATCTTCTTCCCATAAGCATTGTTTTTGTTGTTATTTGTTGTTATGTGCCGTCGGATGAGACCTGATTCATAGCGACCCCTCCTTGGGTTTCCTAGGCAGTATCACTATGAAGTAGATTGCCCAACCTTCCTTCTGAGGAGTGGCTGGTGGGTTTGAACCGCCAGCCTCCTGGTTAGCAATCAAGTGCCTTAAGCACTACGCTACCAGAGCTCACAGCATTGTCTTTAGTCAGTTTTAAATCAGTAAGGAAATCAACTGCACTGGAAATTTCTTAACAAGGTCTGTGATAAAAAGTTCTCTTCCAATGCAGCACTCCTACCACCTAGCAACCACTCCCCCTCAAGTCAGAGAGAATGATATTGATTCTTACCCAGGATCACCAGCCTGCCGTAGTGAGCCAGGCCATGAGACTCCAGCCCCCAGCCATAAGATGGCCTTATCCACCTGCTTAAATGTTCCTACAGCACTCTTGAACCATTTGTCCCCACTCATTCTGGCACTTCCTGCGTTGTCACTTTACAGGTATCTCATTACCCCAGCCAAGATTATAAACTTTTGTTTATCCCTATGGAGTCTAGAACGAATGTTTACTCTGCAACTATTTATTGATAAATCCGTATGTTCATCAACCAGTTTACATTCCTTTGCAATTCCTTTGCTAATTTAAAAGAGATGACTTGTCTTCATCTAAGAGGGCCAGTGACAGGAGTAAAGGGTGATGTTTCTAAGAATCTGATGTCCAGTCCCTCATCCCAGGCTAGGGGCCTGTGGACCACGCTGACAACTGGGTCCAGCCCAGAGGCAGACACACAGCTTTATGGGCTGCAGCACATATATCCAATTGTCTAACTTTAAGTGGCCAATATCAGTCCGTTTCAGCTCATTAATGCCTAGGATATCGATCTGCAAGCATCCCATTTCATTTTTGAGCCACATCATATCACTCTGTCTTTTCAAAATGTGATTCACAATGATTTCTAAACCTGAGCTCAAATAAATTTTGTTGTTGATATGATAAAAATGGTCATAAATGTCACATCAAGGAAAATGGAACTCTTCTTGCAAAGTGAATAAGGCCCACAATTCTGCTAACTCTCAGAAAATTCACCTTCCTTGCTGTAAATTGGGAGCTCTGGTGGTGTCGTGCCTAAGGCATTTGACTGCTAACCAGAAGGCTGGCAGTTCAAATCCACCAGCCACTTCTGGGAAGGAAGGTTGGGCAGTCTACTTCTATAGTGATACCACCTCGGAAACCCAAGGAGGGGTCGCTATGAGTCGGACCCGACTCAATGGCAGTGAGTTTGGTTTTTTTTTGGTTTGCTCTAAACTATGAGTAGAGATTTATTTGTAGTTTTGAAGTCAACTTACAGGGTTGTAACAAGCACTTCCACCACCTGTCAGTCTGTCGTACTGTGGTGGTTTGCGTTATTGATATGACCCCAGTCTATGCCCCCAGTATTTCAAATACTAACAGAGTCATCCATGCTGGACAGGTTTCAGTGGAGCTTCCAGACCAAGATAGACTAGGAAGAAGGACCTGGCAATCTACTTCTGAAAAATTTGTTTTTGTTGTTGTTGTTGTTGTTATGTGCCACCAAGTCAGGCTTGACTCATAGCGACCCCTCCTTGGATTTCCAAGGCAGTATCACTACAGAAGTAGATTGCCCAACCTTCCTTCCGAGGGGTTAGCAGTCAAGTGCCTTAGGCACTATGCTACCAGAGCTCCTGAAATAATTGGCCAGTGAAAACTTTATGAATACCTGCAGAACATTGTCTGACATTGTGCCAGAGGCTGAGCCCCTCAGGTGGGAAGGCACTGAAAATATGACTGGGGAAGAGCTGCCTCCTCAAACTAGAGTCAACCTTAATGGCATGGATGGAGTGAAATTTTGGGGATCTTCATTTGCTGATGTTTCACAACTCAAAATGAGAAGAAATGGCTGCAAACATCCAGTAATAATCAGAATGTGGAATGTATGAAGTATAAATCTAAAAATTTGGAAGTTGTAAAAAATGAAATGGAATGCATAAAGATCAATATCCAAGGCATAAGTGAACTGAAATGGACTGGTATTGGCCATTTTGAATCGAATGATCATATAATTTACCATACTGGGAATGACAAATTAAAGGGGAATGTCATAGCATTCATTGTCAGAAAGGACACTTCAAGATCCAGGTTCATTGCAGCATTATTCACAATAGCAAAAAGATGGAAACAACATACCCATCAACAGATAAATGGATAAACAAACTGTGATTCATACACACAATGTAATATTACGCAATGTTAAAGAGTAACAATGAGTCTGCAAAAACATCTCATAGCATGGATGAACCTAGAGGACATTATACTGAGTGAAATTAGTCAGTCACAAAAAGACAAATATTATATGAGACCACTACTGTGAAAAATCAAGAAAAGGTTTACA